AAGGGCGCGAGTTTTCTCATTTGCCCTACCTTTTAGATTGGAGTAGCGGACCGGAGCATGTAGACAAAGACATGGTAGACACTTATGTCTATTTTTGGTCATACATTGTCTATTCTCGACCAATACCACCTAAAATCGTCGTCATTAGCGGGCGCGACGTCGCACGCGACGCCCACTGGCGCGGCGAATTACGATTCTCTTGCCACATTGCCGGCCCCACAAATGCGTGGATGTGCGTGCTCATTTGCATTTTTACGAATATGGTCTCTGCGTTTTGGCAGTTCTGCATAATTTTCGTGCTTTATAATGTCGTGAAGTGCTTCTGAATTAATGGGGCGACTGGGAACGAATCCTTGGATGCTTGGAGAGCCTTTTATTGCTCCAAAAAACTTATTTTTCATAATAAAAATGCACCCCAACGAATAAGTTTGTCTCGGGAAACAGCCTTCTTTTCCAAACGACATGACTGGATCCGAAACCTATGAGTTTCTGGAAGACGAAATTAGTTGGAAAATGCTTTCCGACGACTGGCGTTGACGTGACAATGTTGCCGGAGATCAAGATGGAAAAAGCCTTTATCCATACTTTCAAGGGCACAGAGAAAACTTCCGAAAAATCGCGAATTCGCTCACTCATCCAGGAATCAAGACCGTCCACCATTTGAAAGACCTACGACGTAAGCACTCGTCACGCTTGTAAGCAGCGCCATCTTAGGCCGCTAATTCGTATTGAATGCCACTATGCTCCCCCTAAAAAGGCCCGTAACTTTGTTCTGGGAGGTCCGCAGCAGATATGGAAGACGGTTTCGTAATCCCCGTTGAAAGACGGTTAACGATGGAGGGGGGGGGGCATTTTGCACTCACGACCTGACGACCCATCTAGACAGCCTCTTCTCGAGTTGACAGGTTTTACCATGATGGCTTGACGAGCTTCGGCTTCACAAGAGTTCACAGGTTTCACCAGAGTGAGGCTTGTAAACGGGAACTAGTGAGCAACGAAGTAGAGAAACCCCCTCCCCCCTGTCGCCGAACTGTGACGGCGATCTCAATACAGCTTACTCTACCAAGTTTTCCTGCCCCGCTACAACTCACTCTGTTGCCTACCTGCCACCACAAAATTGCCTTGGAATTAATAGCGGCCGCGAGTGCTTGCAGGTCTAACGTGACTATCGTTTTCATCACAGTCAACAGTTATGCTGGTTGGGGTCGACCTCTCGTTTTTCGAGAGTGGGGGGGGGTTGTACTGACACCGTCATTTCGGTGCTGTAGCCTGTCGCGGATCCTCATTGCACCCAAAGCGGAAGTATGAACAAGATCATATAGCTTATTAGAATCAAGAGAAGGCTCACTCATCCAAAGATGCTACCTACTGCTCGCATATTTAGTCAGTCACAAATTAATAAGTTTCGACACATTCATTTCCCAGCCGCAGCACCCAACGATCAAGTCCAAGCAAGGATTAGCTGAGTTTTCTCAGCATTTTGGAGGAAAGCAGACTCAAAATAATTAAAAATTCCGAACTATGATATCCCGGAGCAAGGAAATAGAAAAGTGAAATATTCAATGGTCGAATGAGCAGCTGCGATTACCATGTGGACATAACTCAAAAGGAATGAATCAGCTTTTGCGATTACCATGTCAGATAACTCAAAAGGAAAGTTACACAAGAGATTATTCAAGGCGTAATTGGTGGTAGAATGACGTCCACGGCACGTCCCGTTCGGGAAAGTTTTGCAAAGTATGTCCTTTTTTCGTCTCTCATACCTACCATCTTCCCAAATTTTGCAGTTCACTCGCCCTTTTGCGAAAATTTCACCGCCTGTACTCTTACGAAAAAGCGTTGAGCGAAGGGATAGAGGTGGGACGGGAGTTCCCCATCACCAACCAAAAACGTTTCGCTCAAACACAACTACATCCCCCCCCCTCCCTCCACCGACCAAGTACGACCTCCTCGCTGGTGATTTACAACGTACAAAGTGATCTGATGACGTTAAAGGTCAAGAGCTCTCAAGTTAGCTTTACATGGTTTTAGATGAGAAATAATGCAAAAACAGAGCAGAATTGATTGCTTCATGTCGACAGTCAATAGAGCGACAATTTGACAAGCTGCACTATTGTAGAAGAGAATAGTATACGCTATTAAATGCAAAATCAATAGGCGTTTTAAAATTGGATGCTCAGCGAAAACAACGTTGGCAAAAAGTACACTACCCAGGAAAGCCATAGATGTGAAACCAGCTGTCGGGATTAGGGTGGCGTTTACAGAGTTGCGTCCTCAATCCAGTATTTGGACTTACCCTTAACAGTGCTGGTGAATCCAGAAGGGAGTGTGGGAGACAATCAAGGAGGTTGGATGTCATTCCACCTGTTATCAATTCATCCAATTTTTTCATAAATGAGATCCTGACATTATTCTTTGTTCCGGGGGTATTGGTCACAGCTGCACGTAGTGATTCGCATTTAAGCTAACCTGTTCTACAACCAGGGTACAGCATCGTTGTGTAAACACATGGGGGTCGTTTTTCCGCCGGGAAGGGGGAGGCGTATGTATATTTGATAGGAATTTGACGCTGCCGTAAGATTTGCTAGGAGGCTGGAAACTCGCAGGAAAGTGTAGGAGGAAGGTGGGAGGGTCGCACCGAGAGTCTTGGGTGGGAGGGGGGGGGATCGTACCGACACCACCATTTCACACATCACGATCCTGCATCCTGTTTACAACGACGGAAATTCCCTTATGGGCCAGGGAGTGTGTAACGCACTAGAGGCCCATCTATGCTCACGAGGTCCTTGCTAGCTAGCTAACGGTGATCAGCATTAGATGGTGTTCGCCGTTTTCTCATCTTCGACTCCGGTACAGCACTTCTGGTCAGGGTTTCCTGGCATGTGTCTTCTACGTTTTCTCATCTTCGACTCCGGTATGTAACTTCTGGTCAGGGTCTCCTGGCCTGTGTCGTCTATGTGCTCCAATGTCATGATCGAGCACGAAAAATCAGTGATCCTTCACTACTTCACAGCACATAAGCGAGAATTTGGATTTCACATGAATGAGCTGCCCTTCTACTATTCATAATGAACATTTTTCTCCATAGACCTTCACCGACAAAATTTAGCCCGAAAAAAATTTTGTTTTGTAATTGTGCAACGAGAATTTCTCGCTTACGGTCTTGTTCACAGCCAATGCTAAGGCGCTGCAGCGGCTGGGCCCGGAACTAACCCTTTCCACCAACTGCTTGCCAGCTTCCACAGTTGGTGGAGAAGTGGTTCGCCCCACACCAAATCTAACCAAATCTAAGCCCCTTGATATCCCTTATCATCTGCAGTGAGCAAGGCTGCAAGTAGACGTAGGTGCATAAGGCTGCAAAGAGGATGAACTTACCCGTAGCCTCAACAGGAGATAATGCCGGCTGCTAAAACAGAAACTCGCATGATGGTGGTCTTCAGATGTGTTCGTGACACATGGACAGGTCTCTCTCCAACGTATTGTCCGGTTTTGTGGTAATTCAGTAACTCCTGATCCTACTTTGTATAATCGGCTAACTGGGTTTGTTTGCCTGTTTGTCATGAAATATCCCCAAGATAGGAAATGAAAATAATGTGCAGTTTTGGTTTGGCAACTGCTGTTTAACGGCACAGTGCGCGCTCCTAAAGTTATCAAAGGAGTGCTGAGCTGAGGGCAAAAGTCAGGCCACGCCAACCCGCACCTCCGGCCTTCCGGGCGTTTGCATTATCCACTATGCTATCGGGCTACGTTTACCCTCTCAGCTCGGCGACTTTTTGTGCCATTGCCTTTTAGCACATCACGTGCTCGATGCTAGAAGGCAATGACACACAAGACCATTGAGCTGAGAGTAAGAGCGGCTCTGGTGCAGACTTACGTACAGGATGAATCCTTGCCGTGCGCGGACACTTCTGCAGCTGTACAAGTCTGACGCTTTTATCACCACGAGAAAGCACGGAGAGTGGAGGGTTGCGAAAACTGGATGTCGTTTTGGACTGCACCCGCTGTACACAACGGGCAGCATGCTATGGTCGTGCAGAGACAACATGAACGGCAGGCTGTCTAATGTGGTGAACAACGTAACGTAAGAGGGAACAGTCAAGCAGCGCGTTTGACTACAGTCAGGCGTATGCCTTTATAGCATCATGTTGCGTCTGCGCAGGACAAATCGTTGTTGGGGAACTCCCAGCAGGGAAGAGGGGTCGTATTTGGCCGCTGGGAGAGGGGGAGTCGTATTTGGGTTAAGAGAAGATTCTTCTCCTTTCTTCACTCTCCAGGCTCATTTCGATGGCAAAATTGGCCCCCTTCACAACTGCAGCCTCGTTTACCTCGCCACATGGTGAAGAACAGGATCTTTGGAGGTGGTCGTAGCTGCGCATCTTCAATGTCTATAATTTCCCCACACAAAATCATCTTTGTCTTCTTCCTTTATACGTCTATTCATTATTAACACAAGAGAAGCAGAGAGGTATTGTTGACAACGGTGCTCAGCAGATCAGACGTGCTCATCACCATCAAACTCGTAATCACAATGGACGAAAGCTCGTTCTACAAAAGTGAGTTGTTCGAGCTTTGCTTGCAAAGTCTCGGACACATCGTGTGCTTCACACAAACTGATTTCACGATCCATCACCTGAAGATTTAATATACAGTGGTCTTGAGTGCAGTTTGACGATGGGGGGGGGCATTTTGCACTTTCGCTACTTCCCATCGACGTGTCGACCTATCTAGGCAGCCTCTTCTCGAGTTGACAGGTTTTACCATGCTAGATGAGCTTGCTCCAGCTTCACAAGAGTTCACAGGTTTCGCCAGAGTGAGACTTGTAAACCGGAACTAGGGAAGCAATGATAGTACAACCCCCCCCCCCCTCCTCCGTCGTCAAACTGCGCCGTGGTCTTTCGTATGTATGTGTGAATGTTACTACACTAACCACATGCAATTCGACAAGGAAATTAGCTCCGAAGTGGTAGACGTATACGGTATCAAGATGCTTGATGCGATCGTCATGGCTTATAGCAACCTAAAGTCAATATAAAGATAGATAGCATTGTCGAATAGGTCTAGTTCATCACATCCGAGGCGCGGCATCGCGCGCGAATCGGACCTTCATAGCTAGCTGACACATCCCGTCGAGCGGCACAGTGCCATCGTTTTCCACAGTTGCCACTGCGTACACCGAGTGTTTGCCGCAATTTCACGCCTGCTTTCATACTTGAAAGGAAAACGCTGGTCTTCATTATTCAGAAATATTTCTGTTTCCATGCTACCACTTGTTCCACCACTTAATAAAACTAGGCCTATCAGTTTAGCAGTTCTGGAAAAAAGAAGCGCTGTAGGTGCGCACTACCGTGTCTTACCCATTAGAATAAGTCAATTAGCAACTGTGAGCTGAATCGCCTCGCCTCAAATGTGGACTTACCCCTTTTGAGCGGGCCGACTGCAACTAGTCATCTATCTCTCTTAAAGGCACGTTCCGCGATAAACTAAGGCTAGAACCTCATAAACGTGCATGATGATCAAGCAGGCAACAGTAGAGGATATGCTGCTTTTAAAAGTTGAAAAACAGCAAGCAGAACGCACGACGCTCATGTTTTAGGCCCATTGGCGCCCGATAGGCCCATGCCGGCGTCGCCTTTTGCAATCCACAATCGATCTTGACCACCTTACGCTCGTCCGGTGATCATGATCAATTGAAATAAAGAGGGTCTTATTGCGGGCGCTTTTTCGTGGTTCCTTCTCTTCAATAAGTCAACAATCACAGGGAACTGTATTACCGATGAAGTGTGGTCGCGGGAGTTGCCTTTGGAAAGGGCTTTTTCCCATTGACAATTCACAGAGCCATCATTATGAGACAGTTTTCAATAAGAACTGCACTCACATTGATAATGCGATTGATCACTTGAGGACTTGCTGATTTGCCAATCAGTAAAGGCACCTGTTCTCTTATGGTGAGGAACCATGTCACAATGATTAGAGTGCTGGAAAATTGTCACATTCATGTGTCAGTAATTGAATAGAAGGCGATAAAAGATCTAGAAGAGCTCAATATGCAGAATTGTAAACCGTACACTCAACGTTCCTTGTCATGAGCGAGGATTATTGGCCCGCAGATGCAATAGCGTGCATCATCTTCGCTAAAGCTACAAGGGAACGGAACTCAGGGAAATCGCACTCGAATGCCGTCTTCATGCACCGCCCGTGCCACCTCAAGGTGCAGCTTTTACTTCGATACCAGAATCCCGCACATGAACATTCACCCAGCGGTGGAGGACGACCAGAACTGGTAAGGCACAGACAGTTAGCGCAGTAAGCTATGGTTCGGCCTGTGGCTGGCTATTGTAAGTGTCCCGTATCATAGTAATCAGATAGTAGTGTAGTACCCTTATCTATTTCTTTCATCAGCGCTTCTCCTGCGCAAGCTTAGAGGAGTGCTGCGGGTACGGTATTGCTGAGTCATCTCACGCATGGTATTTAGTCTGCGTTTATACTTTGCGGCAGCGTAGCGCTTCCAGCGTACGCCAGCGGCAGTGCCGGGGAGAGGATGCATATCGATCTAGCGTTCCCAGCGTCACCAGCGTTTCGCCAGCGTTTCACCAGCGTTTTGCTGGCGTTTGCAGCGGCAGGGGAGTAGAGACTATGTGGCCGTAAGAGACGCGCAATCGATGTGTATTGTAGAGACTATGTGGCCGTCAGAGACGCGGAATCGATGTGTATTGTAGAGACTATGTGGCCGTGGCCGTGAGAGACGCGCAATCGATGTGTTTTGTACCCTCCCATAGTCTCTACTCCCCTGCCGCTGCAAACGCTAGCAAAACGCTGGTGAAACGCTGGAGAAACGCTGGCGTACGCTGGTGACGCTGGGAACGCTAGATCGATATGCATCCTCTCCCCGGCATACGCTGGAAGCGCTACGCTACGCTGCCGCAAAGTATAAACGCAGCCTTAAGGTCTGCGGCAGCTGGTCCTCTTCTCGGCATCCGGATTCCACCGTCCACCGTTCGTCTCCTCGCCCCCAGATGATCTCCTCCACGACTGTCGCCTCATAGGTCCAACTCACTTCCGATACTGCACGACCGAATCGATCTCATTCATACTGCTAATAAATCAGTCTATTCAAATTCGCGTTATTCAGAAGCACCACGCGGGGCCATAAATCCGCAAATATGACTTTATGCGACAGCGATGACGGAACATGGGGACGGCAACTTGCGCATCACCACCTTCCAGCCAATTTACCGTGCACTTAGGAGGGGAAGGGGAGCTACTGTGATAGGCTACTGCAGCTGTGGACTTATTCACTCACACACGGCGATGACCAGGATCCACAATGGTGACTTACAGTTGTCTTTGTGTAAGTAACGGAAAAACCGGGGTAGTTTCCATTTAACTACGTACAATTAGTAAGTAACAAATTGAGCCTACCTGACGATTGCAGCGCCAATGGGATCGGCGTACTTCCACCATTTGTGACCGATGTAGGCTCCAGCAAGGGCAACAATATTCGTAAAGCAATCATTCCTTTGATCGATAGCCAGAATTCGGCTGGCGCTTGTGTTACGTGAACGGCAAATGATGTACAAAACTAAATAATAAGACGATGGAAATTCTTACCTTTTACAATTTTAGGGTTTTCAAGGCCAGAAAATGAAGGCAGGTTACATTAGACACCATTTGAGGAAAGGCACTTCCTGCACGCTAGAAATTGGACAAGGACAACGAAAGTGCCACACATAGTTGGACGACTGCCTGGACTATATAATGGACGATGTACAACCCACCAATCCATCTGGGTACTTCTCTACAATCGTTTTTTTCTTGCGCATGGATTTTATACACGCCATTTTGCTGGTGGAGGTATAGTGTAGTTTGCTGCGGACGGTTGGGCGTGTCAGGCGGGATGAGTTTGGCGCGGTGCCAAACCCGTTCTCCACCAGTTGTTAAAGCGAGCAAGTGATATGACTGTATCATATCGTTCGTATTACTCGTTTTCTACCACTTTTTGTCGCATTTCAACAAGAAGGCAGAGAACGGCTTTGACGGCGTGACACACTCATACTGCCTGACACGCCCAACCGTCCGCAGCGAACTAGATATAAAGGTAGCTTAGATCCCTGGGATACGATAGGCGTAACTTCATTCGAACTCAGAGGCAACTGCGCTTTTGGTGAGACACTTTTATTTGGGACTATTTAGTAATGTCCTTGGTCAGTAATGTCCTTGGTAAGACAATATAATAATTGTTTCAGTTCGGAATATACCATTAATGGATGTAGCAACGGAACGGTGCAGCGCTGGTGGGCGTGGACTGCGACACCGTTGCGGCGAGAAGATGAGTCACCCGCTTGGCCGTCTGGATATTGAAGGGACGGTAAAGATCGATATCACCCAGGGTCGAGTCTTGTGTGCAGTTACGGTTTAGTTTTTTCTTCGTTTTTCCATAAAGAATGAAAAGGGTTCATTAGAGCATGAACTTCATTAGGGTCTTTAACATTTGCTCTGGTGTGTCATCTTTTACAGCAGCTCACAGGAAAACTTGACCATTCATCTATTAAATGTTGACGCTGATGACTGCGCGAATTATGTGAATCACACAAAGATAGGGAGAATATGCCTTATTTGATTTCTTTCGTGCTTGTTCATTCCCTGAAGTTGCGTCTATGGATCCGCCAAACAATTGTGTGTTACTATCAAGAGAAACATCGTTAGATTTTCAATTATTGATGAAATTTGGTAAACGTGCGGATGTACGCTGCAATTAATCAAGTGCTCCAATCTCATGTTTCCTAGCAAATGCACGTTCAAGAGCCTCCGGTCACTCGACGCGCGACGACACGCGTGCTGCGGGCGCTGCCTCGGACCATTCTGCTGCACGTCTCCCGTGCTCACATAGCGTACATGTTTGGTCACAAATGGGCGGCAAAGGGAGTACTGTGGGAGTTGCAGCTTTGCGACGAGGCTCCTTTTAAACCTTTCAAAAGCGTTATTTTGAACTATTGCGGAATCGTCACTGTATAAGGTACCAGGGTGCCAGGGATGGTCTACGGACAATTGAACTTAATTCCTTTGAACGCGTCAAATCTGTGTTTTTCTCTGCTCTCTCTCGTCCGCATGGCACTCTATGATCAATGTGACTTCGCACATTCAGCTTTTCACATACGATAAGTGGCTCACCCACCCCGGAGTCCCCTCCCCTTGAAAAAGCTCGTTTCCTGGCTCGCCATAGTTTCTTGAACTTCTCGATGCCTTGGCAGGCGCTGCCCTCTATCTGTCTGCGTCTCTTGGTTTCGCAACAGGACCAGGCACAAAAGTTCGAGAAGTCACGTAACCACATCGCATGGTGTACAAAACACCGACAGACCAGGCCATTTCGTAAGAGCGTGGTCTTCGATACACAAGAAATGTGATCCCTGGCAGCATGGATGACTATTGTGCAAACCATGAGCGATGTGTTGTTTCGCCCTCCTGATTTTCGTCAGATATTCATCTCGCCAGATACGCCTGACGACGCTGATATTCCTTCTACACGAGCAGATGGAGCAGTCGCCTCCCAACCAACAGCCTCAAGAACAAGTTTTCGAGGAGTTGCTGGAAACCGTGATTCGTCTGGACCCTAATGGTATTCAACCTACTATTCAGCGGTTAAGTCCGATACGCCACCAGCTTCCCGAGCGCCTACTGCACGGCATTCATTTAAGCGAGAGAGATTCGGAGGTCAGTTTGATTTCAGTGCCATTAGTCAGAAGTTATCATCGTTACAGTACCCACCGTAAGTGTTCAAAAAATTACGAAAAAACGCCGATCCGCGTTTTTTTCGTTTTTTCGTTATAGAGCTGTTCTTGTTGGTTTTCGATTGTGAGGGATTATGGAGATTTTTGGTACTAACCCCGAGAAAAGAATGGACAAAAGGATAGATTTCAGCGCTACATTGGGACAACGGTTACAATTCTACCATATATAATCGGCTATGTCCGTGCGTGTGCGTCTCCTCTTTGACACGAAATTCATAGCGCCGGTCCCAGTAGCAGCGAGATATTGGTTCCAAGAAGTGACGTAGAGGGTGTGACGGGAACACTATGAGGGAACACTATTGGTGGGTGATAGGAAGCAAAGTTGATATCAGTTGATAATATCTGATAAGAGGCCTCAGAATGGAACTCTCACCATATTCGTAATGCGGGTCACAGCACATATGATTTATGACAAGGGCAGGAACATTATTGGTGGATGACAAGAACTGTCAGCTGCTGATAAGATTCGAGATGTTAGAAGGGTATGGTCACTGAGTCACAGCAACAGTAGGAGGTTGGTTCCAAGATACGATGTAGGGTTTAGGAAAGGATACATTTTGCTGGAAAATGCACTGTGACGGTTAGGCGTATTTTGCACACTCTACCTCGCCTAAGGAAAGAGTGCCTGGCGAAGCCAGGCCGGCCCGGCGAAGCCGGGCCGTGACAAAGAAGGAGGAGCACCCGGCGGCAGCCGGGTGATCCGACTGGTCATTACATAATAGATTACGTTGGGCCGGGACGCTGTTTTCAATGTTTTCTTGGAAATGAAAGATAAACGTAACACAATTGCGACGTGTAAATGTTTGTACAATATTCAAAATGGTATTTATACCAGAGTTTACCGAGGTATTAAGCATAGCTTACTCGGGGTACACTGACCTGCTTTAATTGTCGTTCCCTGTGCACAGAATCACAATAGAGGCTATGTCAACCCTTGGATCAAGCTGCAATAGATAGCTTTGACTTTATAAAAGCATTACAGTCTCAGCAATAAGTAGAATGTGTAATTTCAGTCTATCGTTCTCTTCAAGAAAATAATAGATTCTCACGTGTCCCGTAATCGAGTCGGTAGCAGCCTGTTCCAGAACAATTAAATTCGCGAATACCATAATCAGGCCAACGACGAGTGTAGTGAGAGGCTCGAGTCTGAACAGCTATATATACAATTCACTCACTTAAGAGAAGGGTCCACGACGATCAATGAAAATCCGAAGGATTGCGTATGAAGGGCAGTGTGGTCCGCAATAAATGCCTTTGTGCCGGTTACGGGGCAGATGTCAACCGAAATTTCTCTAGCTATGAGAATTAGACGACGAGGCAGTTATGACGTGTGCCGGCCGTCGCCGGGAGATGGGCGTGTACGCTCGTCGTCTCTCCTCTCCTGCAAGGCATCTCTCGTAAGGAGAAGACACGTGAAGTGATTTCAGCCACGAGAGGTTAAGACTGAATGAGAACACCTTGAGGATTCACTATTCGTCCCTTATTTTGTGTCAGTGGCGACTGGAGGGTGAATTTTAAGGTTAACAGGATTTAAAACTGAAATAAGGGGAAAGGTGGACGGCTTGAATAACAGGAATGATAGCTAGCCACGAAAACTACGCAAAGTGATAGGTAGGTAGTCCACCCAGGGTATATAATCAACAAATCATCCTACTCTATATAATCCGCTAAGTATGTCTGTAAGTGTGTGTGTATGTTTGTGTGTGCGTCTGTCTGTGTGTCACGAAATTCATAGCGCCGGTCCCAGTAACAGTGAGACATTGATTTCAAGAAGTGATGTAGGCGGTGTGACGGGAACACAATTGGTGGGTGACAGGAAGTGATATCAGCTGATAAGATACGATAAGAGGCGTTAGAAGGGGGAGGTCACCATATTCATAACGCGGGTGACAGCAGCAGTGGGACGTTGGTTCCGAGCAGTGAAATAGGGGGTGGGACGAAAACATTATTGGTAGGTGACAGGATGTGATATCAGCTGATAAGATCTGATAATGGGCATTAGAAGGGAAGGACTACCAAATTCACAGTGCGGCTCACAGGAACAGTGGGTCCTTGGATCCGAGAGGTGATATAGGGTGTGGGACGGGAACATCATTGGCGGGCGACAGAAAGTGATAACAGTTGATAAGATACGATTGGGAAAACATCCGCTTCAGCCGCTCACAACAACAATGCGATCGATATGACTCAAGTATAACGATCTCAATGATTCCAACAGAACTCATTCCTCACTGCTTATTAGTAACGACATCATGTAGACCAGTGAGCTAGCTCTATTCCAAATGCATGGGGTTTGTTTACAGAGATGTTATGAACAGCATCAATTCACTTAATGCTGAATGCGGGAGTGCATTCCAAAGCAAGACGCTTTAAGGCGACAGAATGCATGAATCATAGGCTGCTTCAGCAGCTAACCTAACAGGCTCCATTATTCCCGTGTAGGTTATGAACGTACCAGTCGGATCGCTGGCTAAGGCGGCTCCCCTCCTTCTGTGATGCGGGGGCGCTGCTGCTGCTTCTGCGTCTTGACGGAACGAGCGCTGCTTTTCAGTTCTTGGCTGATGCAGAAGATTCCTTTGAACAGTGTGGTTGGTCAACGATCCGTAACTTAGCACGCGGCAAATCCGCATGGCCCGGCGAAGCCGGGCCATGTCACAGAAGGAGGAGCGCCCGGCG